TCTCAGTTAAAAGAAAACATAAAACAGGCACTGCCAAAGTTACAAGACACGCAGGAGTCACACTTGGTCAATAAATAGGAAATAGATAAATGATTTGTAATAAATTATATTTAAAAAAAACTGGCAGCTGGAATCCCTTTGCTGGAGTTTAATGCTGAGAGCCTGAGTCAGGTGCCTTCTAGAGGGTACTAGGTCAAACAGATGATGACCGGCGTGTGAATGTTGGTGGCTCTGGAGAGGCAGCGGTTACTGGCACAGTCTTTCAGGGAGAGAAGGGAGCAGGTAGTGTGTTGCTGAGTCTTTGTAGAGTTTTTTGTCTGCTGCTGAGCAGCTGGCATACCACATTGTAATGTTATACACCAGGATGCTCTCTCTGGAAGAAGGGGAGGAGGCTACCAGCAGCTTCTCTCAGGTTGTTTTTCCTGAGTACTCTCAGAAAGTAGTAGGATCTGAAAGTCCCACGTTAGCACCATTATCTGAGGAGGCATGGTCTGTGCAGCATCATGTAGGGACTGACTCATAGTCTGTCCTCCTATGCCACCCATCTCATGTGATGCCTCATCTGATGAAAGGCTCCCTGTAGACATGAAGAATGGCCTCAGCTTCACGGTGAGGCACTCGGGGAACTTGAGTCACAGACAGGAGGCTATTGGTCCCAGTTTGGTATACACAGTCCTTGGATTATACACCCATACACATCAGGGGGTTAACACACTTAAGGGGATATTTACCAAACCAGTCGCAAATTACCATCAGGTGCACCAGATATTGTGGCACCACAAGCTTTCAATTTGTTGGTGTATTTACCAACACTGATCATTAACAGCTGCCACTCTTTCTATTCTCTCCTCCCATGTTTTGCATCCCTGAACAGGAATGTCTTGAAATACATACCGAATGAGACCAAAAGTGCAAATTTTAGTGTTGCCACTTTTCTATTTTTTCTTCTGCACAAAACCCAATTGTGACCAGTTAGTAATTATAAACACACACAATTTCACTATTAGGCACAAAACCTTATTAAAGCTTAGAGGCTACTTAAATTAGCTGAGCCAACTTTACTGACAAATCTGTTCTCGTGTCTCAGTGGGCAGGTTCTCTGTCATGATGAAAGTCATCCACCTGAGAACTGGTGGTGAGAAGGAATTTAACGCTTTTTCTCTGGGCAGAGTTTTTTTTTCCATCACTAAAATGCTCAATACATTACTATACTTTCTTCAATTCATTTTATGTTGGACAACTTAAAAAGCTTCTGTAAAAGCCAAAAAAATGATTTTATGCTTTTAAAAAAAATGGCATGAGAGGCTAAATGTGGTTTGTCTGTTAGTTGTATGTTGCCAGAAAGTGTTGAATCAAAGATTTTCACCATTTAACAGATTCAAACTCATGCACAGCAACAATCTGGAGCACTGCCTGGGTGCAGACCTCTGAATCACTCTCTGATATTCTCAGCATCAGGAATAATACAGTGAAACCAAATGGCCGTGCACTGTCAATATCTGGCTAATGCTTCTTTAACTAATGTTTCTTATAACATGCAAAATAACCCTGGTAAAACTGCCTGAGCAATCATGAGTTTTTTGTGATACTACTCTATCACCTGACTGCAGTATTGGGTGTTTTCCAGGTGTCCTGGCTGTGACTTCATCGCTCTCGCTCCCTCTAGAGTTATCAACACTGTGTTTTCATTTTGTGCCCAAAGTGTGCACAACAGGAGCAGATGATGTCTCTGGTCTCAGCAAAAACACTTGTGGTTTGTGTTGAAGGCGCCAGCAGCGTACACACAGACACATATATCCACATACGTACCCGCTCATACTTCCACAGAACTCTGCTGAAGTATGTACCACATGTGAAGTCATGTTCTGCTGAAGCAGTAGTACACATTAAAATACCAGACACAGCCCTGAGAAGTACAATGGAGAGACTGTGAGACACAGGGTGTTAGAAAGTGACAGCATGAGACAAAAGATAAGGAAGTTGGTGTCTGACTTGTAATAGCTTCAGCACATTAGTCCAGTAGTTTTTATGTCCCAGTCCTGCTGAGCCCCTGTAAATGAAGGCATATGAATATCATTAGGCTGTTTCAGTCATCTGGAGGCACTGCCCTTTTATTTCTAAGCAGGGCCTCTCTTTCAAGTGCTTCCATGCTGAAACCTAGTGCATGGATGTGGTCAAAGAGGCTGCTTCTGAAGCCTGTTGGCAGACCTGTTGGGAAACACAGCAGACACCAGTTAAAGGACGTTTCTTGATCTCTGTAATTAGCATGTTTAGTGCACAATATTTTTGGTTTGCAAAGTTCTGACACACCTGATAGGAGAATTGTCTGCTTCTAGTCTGTACATAATATTGTGTCAATAAAATATTAGTTAGTATTCTGTGTGTGTGTTGCAGTTGCTTGGATTGAGGATGTTCTTGTGAGTCTGAGCTTCTTTTGTCTTCACAGTTGCCTTCAGACATCTTTCCAAACATAAAGAATTCCTGTGCAAATGCACATAGATTTGTCTGTGTGCACCCATGTGCCGTGTACAGACAGGTGACAACTGAAAGAACGACCCAACACAGAGTCCCAGTGAGGTGCTGGGCCACCATGTGCCACCAAAACAGCTTCACTCTGCAAGTCTCTGGACACTCCTGGAGGGATGAACACCGTTCTTCCAGCAGATGTTCCCTCATGTGGTGTTTTGATGATGATGGTGGTGGAGACGCTGTCTAACACATCGCTCCAACATCTCCCATAGCTGTTCAACTGGGATGAGGCCTAGTGACTGGGAAGGCCACAGCGTCTGGTTCACATCATGGTCATCCTCATCAGACCAGTCAGTGACCCCTCCTGTCCTGTGGCTGGGGGGGCAACGTCATCCTGGAGGAGACAACTCCCATCAGGAGAGACATGTTTCATCACAGGACAAAGTTTGTACTGATTTGCAGTGACCTTTCCTCTGAGGGGACAAGTGGACCGGAACCATGCCAGAAAAATGCCCCCACAGCAATGGAGTCACCATGTAGGGGTCATCCAACCAGGTTTTCCCTTTAGTTTGTCATATGTCTTTAAATGTGTATGTGTGTAACGTGTCATGTGTCTCTCTCACTAATCTGCCAGCAGGCAGATAAAACAGAAGGAGAGTGCACAGGTCGAGGTGTAAGGTCAAAGGTCATTGCGTTTATGAATGCAGCACTACACTGCACAGGCTGCGTCATCAGGATGTTACTGCAGAGTGGGGCACAGTTTCCCAAACAGCACCTCGTATTTCCAGCAGGTCAGGCTGTGGCTGAGTTGGTGTTCAAGTTGAATCCAAATGTTCAAGTGTCAGCTGACGTGTAAGTTTGCTTCTGAGCTTCCTGAACAGAAACAGTTTCCCTGTGCTTCATATGTTTCTGTTATTGTGTGAAGCTGGTGACAGATGGAGATTTTGGTATGATCCCTGACTGTATTAAAGTTAATCATGTAGCTGGCTGCTGTTCATTTTACACACCGCTTTTATGTGTCATGTGAGATTTATCAGTACCTTTTGAACACAACGTCTCAGGAAGAGCTCAAGATGATTTTACACTCACCAAGAAAACCTGTGAGCACAGCATGTGAGATGCAGATGGTTGTGAACTTTGTGTGGGGTGTCAGGTGTCGTGAAGAGTTTAACAGGACGTGGGTGGTGCAGGAAAGCCAAAATGTTCTTTCTCAAATGTAGTTTCCTGATGTTTTCCTAAATCCTGAGCTGTGCCCTGATTAACTGCTACACACTAATACCATACAGCACATTTTTAGAGTAGACTGGTTTTGCATTTTGCATACATGAAGTTAAATTAATTAAAATGTAACTGGAAAGTGATGCAATATATGTGAAGATGGATGTCAGCCAAACTAGGTTTTTAATAAGATAATCCCAATTAAATCTAAAGGTAGGGTTGGTGATCCTGGAAAAACCAGCAAGAAGAAGCTCCATTGTGAAAGAAGACAACTGAAGAAATCTCACTCTTTCATTCTGACACTCCTTCAAAGTTAACTGCATCACAGTCCTATCTGTACACTTAGAGCTGACTACTGTCTGGCTCCCATGCAGAAAGAGTCTGTTCTGTGCGACAGTGTGGGACCTGCTGAGTGATGGCAACTTCACAAAATGAAGGATCAGGTTGACTGGATGAAGGCTGTCAGGGTCAGTGGGTCAGTATCTGTTGCATGTGTACCATGCACCACACAAACCATATGTTTTAACTACATCTTAAGCCTCTGCTGTGGCTTGTGCATGCACTCCTCTTGTGCACAATGCAGTATGTGAATTTGGGCTGGTCTCAAATACAGAACCATGTGGGTGGTTCAGCTTTATACTGCTTCTGGGCTGTGGTGGATAGTTTGTACAGTCCCAGTGTGATGGTGTTAATACACAGCTGACTCTCTCTAGTTCCTGTTGGAAGCTCTGAGACGAGAAGACTGTGGTCAAGTAGTGATTAGCTCTTTTCATGATGTGTTTGGTTTGAAGTGGATGGAGCTGGTTAAAAACTTTCCGAGGATCATTTAATAGTTTTAGCCTTATTGGTAGCATCACTCTACCAAAGGCTGCTTCTAATGCAGTGTTGTACATCACCACCAACAAATATGACTTGCAGCACTTACTGTAGAAAGAAAACTAAGAGAAAGTGAACAGGCAATGTGCTTATGGCACTACATAATATATTTTGTACAGACAAATGTAGGTGGGATTTATTCCTTTTTTGTGTGAATAAGCAGCTTTACAGTGTGAGTGGACGTGGCTCAGACCCAGTGGTGTACTTGTCTCTACCTAGGCCTTCATTACCAGCTAAACTAGGAAATGTTAGAGGAAATTGAAAGAGTGAAATGAAAGAGCAAAGACAGTTACTTCACTTGTATTATTTTGGCATTAAACAAGTAAAGGCAGCATGCATTTTAATTTGTTGCGTTTTTTCACTCAGAGTAAACGATGATCAGCCTGTAAGTTTAAATATACACCAGCAGCTCTCTTGGAAATCTAGTCCACCTGGGGAATGTGATGGTGGAGGAGGGAGGCGTTTGGGGCGTTTCTCTGTGGTCTTTAAAGGAGGAACTTGACATTGAGTCTCTTCCTGGTGGTCTGGCAAGTAGGACAACTTGTTTTACTCTCCTACTTATCAAACGTACTTTTTTCAGCTGACTATTATGTTGTGGTCCTGTGCAGCCTAGAAAACCACCCCAGCGCGGGGATAGAGGGTTTCCAAAGCCATTTCTGGTAAAAGGGGTGGTGTAGACTGAACTGGCAACCGACAGTCCCGGGCCAGGTTCTGACATTACGTCGCCGAGAGGACCGGAGGCTGAGGTTTGTGTGGACATTTGTGCGACAGCCTTCAAACTCAGTTTTGCCAGGGAGAGCCTGCGAGGAAGCACAGCCGCGGTTTCCTGTGCGCACTCCGTTTCCACCGAGGTCAAGCGTTGTCGGAAGGTTCTTCCCGTGCCCAGAAAAACTCCCCACAGCTTGTCAAATAAAAACAAAGCCCGAGGATTAATTGGACCAATACAGTTATTATAGTGACAACGTTAGCCTCGGTGTGTTTTGTAGATGTGACGTGATCCAAAACTTTTCACGGAATGACTCCATTTTCTCCCGGGTCTTGGGGATTTTCTTTAAAGTTTTGGGTGTTTGTGTAACAGGGATGAGAGGCCCATACACTTTGGATTTCCTGGGATTATACTTGAAAACGGAAGAGTTGCTGCTATGAAGTTCTTGATATAAGTGTTAAGACTCTTCTCGTCTTCGCTGTGTCTGTCAAAACAATAAGCTGACAGTGAAGTGGATTTCCTCAACAGAAGGTATGGTTTGAAAAAGAACAGTGGCAGATAATTATGTGCCGATTTTACACACTCTGTGTCTTCATCTGGAGTTAATTGACGAGCAACTTTAATGCGCTAAAGACGCGCCACGATCTCGGGTTCACTGCTGGATCTCCGTCGTTCCCTCTGTTTTTGATCTGACATCTCGCAACAATGAGGGCTTTTGTTCTCAGTGTGGTTGTGATGTATCTGCTAACATGGACAGGCGAAGCCGACAGACAGACTCATCTGAAGCGGGTGCATTTTCAAAGACGCGCAAGACTGGGACGTGCTCATCCGAGCGCAACGGACAGGGAGCCCTTCGTTGGACGTGTACGTTCTGGATTTGGTTCAGCAATCTCGGTGCACAGCCCCAAAAAGGGGGAAGATGTGCAGGCAGATGAGGGTGTTCCAAGGGGACTGGGGACTGTGCAGGGCAGCAGAGCAGGAGTTCAGGGTCTGGTGCCAAGGAGAGGGGTAGCTGGACAGATTGGCCTGCCCGGTCTGCCGGCCATGCAACAAAGTGACGGCGCTCCAGGAGCGAGAGCCAGGGTCGCCCGGATACCCAGCAGCGCTGGATCACCAAATCTGCTAGCCAGCTTTGCAGGGAAGAACCGCGTCCTGGTCATCTCAGCGCCTCATGATTCAGATGGCTACTACCGGCTTATGATGTCTCTTCTGAAACCAGATGTGTACTGCGAGCTCGCAGAGCGACACGTCCACCAGATTGTCATGTTTCATCAAGAGGACGAGATGGGGGGAAAGGTGAGGAGGATCACCACAGAGGGAAAGGTGATGGAGGAGCCACTGGACACAGCACTCATCCCCAGACTCATGAGCGTCCTCAAACTGGAGAAAGGTGATGTAGGGGTTCAGGTCCTGTGGGATGTGATGGGACAGTAGTTGGAGTATGTTTGTGTTGTTTACTCTATTAGTTGAAGGTGCTTGTACCTGATGAAAAGCCTTGGTCAAAGAATATCAACTACATCATGTCTGAATGTTGTGTGGCAACATGCACCTCTGGGTGAAAATATGACACTGTACTTGACACTATTCTAACCTGATCAATGGTGTGGTGACCTGCAGGTAAGTTTGGGATGGTGCTGCTAAAGAAGACCCTGCAGGTGGAAGAGAGGTACCCCTACCCTGTGAGGCTGGAGGCCATGTATGAGGTGATTGACCAGTCACCCGTGAGGAAGATGGAGAAGCTTCGACAGAAAGGCTTCGTCCAGAAGTGCAAAGGAGCGGGTGTGGAGGGTCAAGTGGAAGAGGGCACACTCACAGGTCAGAGATGGATTTTGTTGAGGTTATTTCTAAACCTTTTCCATAATTATCACAGGTGAGGAAACCACAAGTCACGCTTTGTCATTTTTGTGTGAACTGACAATTGAAATTGAAGGCAGCTTCTGAAGTGGCAGAACTCAAACACATTTTGTCTCTTGTCTCTAATGGGAGCGAAACAGTGATAGTTTTGGTTTTATTTGACCTCCTCCTCTCAGAGGCACGTTGTCAGCCCAGTGCAACAGGTTATGGTTTTCATGACAATAAAATACCACATTAAAAACATTCAACATCTGTTTCCATGAAGAGTAATTGTTCATTATTTAGTATCCCCAGAGTTTGTGACAGAACTTGTCTCAGCTACAAAATAGTTCCAGTGAAAACTTTGACAGTTTCTGTAGGTTGTCCAGAGTTGTGGAAACATGGTTGCTGGGATGCTGTTTGCAAGATAAATACATTTACATCGTGCATGGTGTTGGGGTATAGGCAGAAATGTAATGCTAGAGGCAAAAGCTGAAACAAACTAAATTACACTCACCTCTGTTGTTCTGGGGTGGCAGCAGATACCAGCAACAAATTCTGAGCAAATAAAACCAAAACTAACTGCATGGCTAGATGCCATTCTAGGTAAAAACTCTAGTTTTTAGTAACTTGGGTATCAGACCCTTTAAAAGGCAAATATCAGTACTGCCGTCATCACTTACCATATAATGATGTAGTAACAAAAAGGAAATTAGTTTGACATTATATCGTATTAATTGCCATACATTAGTCTAATTGCAGTTCTGTGCTCTGTCTCTCCAGAAGCAGCGAGCATGCCAAGCATCAATCTCCCTGGGCCAGACAGTGATCTCCAAACACAAGAACCTGCGCTACTACAGCTCCAAGGTCACCCAGATCACTTGCCAGACATTCTACGAGGTCATGTTTGATGATGGCTCCTTCTCCAACGATACCTACCCCGAGGATATAGTGGTGAGAATATATTTAATTAGACGTGTTATAAGTCACCTCCCAGGTGTGAGGTCAGATATTAAAACCCTGTCATTGCATGAGGGATTACCTATAAGCTTGTTTAAATACTTCTAAGTGGTGCAAAAAACAGTGGTGATCCAGAGTCATTTTAAATCACTTCTGTCATAAAGCTTTTTGTATATAGCATGAGACAATGATTTGTGGAAATGCCATTCAGATAAATAGACTATCAGAGGACTGCAGAGTTGTCATTGCAGCAGCAAATTATCACAAACATGACCATTTTTGATGAGTTGAAATTCATAGTTCTCTTTCAGTGGCTTTGTTTCATGTTTGACAGTGGGACTGTCTGGCATGGCCTCATCAGAAGCTCCTATTGCATTCTGCCAGAATTGACTGAAATTAAGCATGTCAGTTTGAGGGAGGGAAAAGACCCTTCCCCCAATAAAAGAGGGCAACAACTCTCACAGTCATTCAAAAACCTCAATTTGCTACCCGCAGAAGTTCTATCTCTTGAGCCAGCTGTCACTCCAGGACCAATAACACAGGCATTAAACCTGGTCACCTGGCGCTTCAGTCTTGGTGTGCAGTTTCTTGAGAGAACTGCTCATACTGGTCTGTCACCAAACAGTAGTTTGAGCCGCTGACTGTGAGTGAAAAGTGTCAGTGTGGGGTTACCATCTTTTAAACGGGGAGGGTCCCTTTCAACCTTGACACTGATACACTTGGTTCCAGCCAATCTTTGCTGGCTGAATGCAACAGGAGCTTCTGATGAGGTCACACCAAAGGCATTCCCAATGTGAGAAAGCCATGCATGCTTCTCAGAGAACCATGGTTATGTAAATAACCCAAAGATTTGTTGAGGTGGTCATGGAATTGGCGTGCTAAACATTGTTTAGGTAACTGATCAGCACAATCAGACATTTATGTGCATTACTTTATTAGTGAGGACATTCCACCCATTTGCGTACAGTCAAGATCCTCAACCTTAATTAACGTAGTGTTTTTTTTTTTTTTTTTTTTTTTTTTTTTTTAACATTCACAAAAAGCAGGAAATGTTTTAGTACAAATTATCATAAATCAGTAAAACATGTATGTTAGCTGGGAGGTTCCTTCTAAAAAAAAATCCAATTGGAAGTTTTCCCACTAGAATACATTTTGACAAACTATCAATATCGTATATTTTTTAGTATATTAGACTTATAATTTTGCACAGACGTAATATCTTTATATATGATCTGTGTGTGTGTGTGTGTGTGTGTGTGTAGACACACCTGTAGCAAGAAAACCAGCAAAAAAGATCCCAAGAAA